CTATAAAATATGAAATATTTAATTATCAATTTACTTAGTTATATTTTAATATAATTATTAATTTTTGATGTATTACATTATTTTAACTGAAATTTTAAGTACTTAAATTAAGTTTAATCATTACATTAATATTAATAATAAATAATATTAGTTTGTACAAATTACTTTCAAAATAAAATTCTAACCTTATTGCTGTTGTCAATCTTTCTTCGATATAAAAGTGAAATTTTTATAGATTGAAATCAATGCACTTAAATTTTTACACTTAACTAATAAACTAATATATCCGTGATGGAAGACTATATTTGGATTTTCTTCAAAAAATATCTCAGTATTGCTGATAAATTAATGAAGTTACTCAAGTGGTCTTCTGATTTTGACCCTAATCATGAACCTCATACTGTACCGGTATGGTTCAGTCTACCAGGTCTCAAGCTGCCTTTTTTTATTTTTTCATCATCAGGTTCTTGACTTTATTGGGGCCATGCTTGAGGACCCTATAAAGCTAGATCTACCGACTTTCAACGTAACCAGACCTTCTGTGATCGAATATTTGTGGAAAGAGATATTAATTTACCTGATGTTACTGAAGTCTGGTTGGGCACAACTCATAATGGTTATTGGCAACAAATCGTCATGGAGAATAGACCGCCTTACTGTTCTCATTGTAAGATGTTTGGGCATACACTTAATAAATGTCATAAGTTTCGTCTTAATTTGAAATCTAAAGATCAAGTGAATAAGGTTGGATCTAATCCCACTACTCTTGATATATCTGTTCCATCTGGAGAGAAAACTACCACAGGACAAATTTTGGATATCACTAAAGATCAGCCACCTACCATCCTTGCTGAGAAGGTGTAAACCGATCCTTTACCCAACATCGCAGTTCCTGATGAAGAACATCATACTACAAGTACAAATTCAAAAGTGATTATACCACTCACTGTTATTGAAGAAGACTCACTTACATGCCAAGACATACGAGAGTGCTTTTTTGATTCAATCAAAGATCAACTGGTACAACCAGTTACTTCTAATGTTCAACATCCTACACATGTCCGACATTAAACTAATCCACTGATCAGGCGAGCCACTATTCGGATGAAGAATGACAGGTTTATTCCAGGAGGAATAAGAAGACTGGAGGCCGACTCGAGCTTGGAAACTTATTGGATGATACTTTGGTCACTACTGGCAATGACACTCATCTTACCAATTTATTATCTAGCTCATTTCCTAGAACTAGAGGTATAGGGAAAGGAAAATTTGGTCGCTCCCTAGCTACCTGATACTACGTTTTTTTGGCATTTTTTGTTTTTTTATTTAGGTTTCTTGTATTTTTCTGTATTTTCTCTTTTTTTTTGGAACCTTTTGTATTTAATGGTTATCATGGGGGAAGGGTGCCATGCGTGGGTCATTCCACACAATCTTTATGTATCCTTATTTCCTTTTAATATATTAGCCTTTGGGTTTTTTAAAAAAAAAGTATATAGATCGAGCTCTGAAGAGGATGCCAGCAACAGGTCGGAGTGTGGAGTAGGCTAGCTACAGCAGATCGAAGCACTAGAGAGGCTACTGGCAGCAGGTCAAAGCGTTGATGTGACGCTTCGTTTGATGTGAGAGTCGAACGACGAGAGAAACATCGAGCTTAAGTTAGGTTTTTATCCCAACCAACAAAGAGGAAAAAAAATCAAACGAAGCGTCCTTATTTTGTTTTAATATATTAGCCTTTGGGCTTTCTAAAAAAAATATACATATATATACATATATGTACACACACACACACACATTTATGTTCTAATCATAATCTAAAAAGTGGTATCAGTGCCATGTTAGGTTTTAATCATAATCTAGAAAGACTATTAGGTTGATTGAAAAAAAAAATTATAAGTACGTATTAAACCTTTTTTTTTGCTTGGTTTCGAAGCGTCGCATCAACGCTTTGACCTGCTGCCAGTAGCCTCTACAGTGCTTCGATCTGCTGCAGCTAGCCTACTCCACACTCCGACTTGCTGATGATATCCTCTTCAAAGCTCGATCTACAGGCCCTGCTTCTGCTCGACAGCTGTGTTGTCTGCGACAGAGCCGGGCTTTGCATTTTTTGTTGGCACTGGCCGCGGTAATGGCCTTGGGGCTTTCCTATGCTGCCGCCCTCGCCGGTGATAACCCCGCCAAACCACCCTATGCTACAATGGTTCACAAATGCAGCTCCCATTTCCACCTCGCAGAAAGTCCGATATTCTCGCAGATGTACCATGATTTTGTCGCAGAATATGAAGATTGCAATCTCATAAAAAAAGTAGAGAAAAAAGTGTGTGAACCGCGAGCAAACCAGCAATATTCTTCTCTGACTGTGAAATTTCAACTCGTGCATGAAAATACAAATTTATTCTAGTTGGAAAGTTTCAATTAGGTATTGGGAAGTTTCAATTAGGTTGCCCTAAGATGGAGACTATCAGAAAGTTTTTTGAAGATTTCAAACTAATTGGGGCTTGGCACGTGGGTCATTTCGATGGAAGACATGTTATGATACAATTGAGTATAGAAAAAGACTGCATAAGGATTTTCTCAAAGAAATTCATCACAATCAAGGGCAAACGTATGAAATTGCTCAAATGGACCCCTGATTTTGATCCCAGTCAAGAACCCCCAATTGCACTTATCTGGTTCTCATTACCTGAACTCAAACTTCAATTTTTTGACCCACCTATCTTATATGAAATTGAGACTATCCTTGGAAAACCTTCACAGGTAGATTTACTCACAGTCCATTTTTCAAGGCCCTCTATTGCAAGGATTTTGATTGAAAGATACACTACCAGATGTAGAAGTCTGGTTTGACTCTGCTCACAATGATTATTGATAAAATATCATTATGAAACAAAACCTTACTACAGCAAACGCTGCAAAATGTTTGGACACACGCAAGAGAAATGTTTCATATTGCAGCTACAGTTGAGAACCAATAGTCAAAAGCAAGAACATATTGTTAGTGCACCCCACGTGTCTGAACGCGCTCCCAGCAAACCTGATTGACAGCCAACCCGAGGAGGGAATCACCACAAGACAAGAGTTGGTGTCTGCCTCTAGGAACCCTTCTCCTGACCATACTACAACAGATAATGTCCCTATAATGTCCCTAGATAATGTCCCTATTCAGGAAGCATCAGGTGCAGAGGTGACAGTTCACACTTCGCATACACTGGAACCTATCGCTGTGGCAACGAATGTCTTTCATTCTATTGAGGTTCTAAATCAGACCGAGGACCACAAGTGCCAGTCTTCTAATGAAAAATGACAAGTTTACACTTCTCGGAGGAAGAAGAAGGTTGGGGGCACATTCCAACTTGGAAATTTAATGGATGATACCTTGGTTAATCCCCACGACACTTCAAAGTTTGTTATCTGGCTTCGCTCCTAAAACTAGAGCAAGAGGCATGACTAAACTGGTTCGTCCCTAGCTTTTGTTTTCTGCATGTTTTTAAATTTATTTTATATTTTTATTGAGTCTATCTGTTTCTTTTGGGTATTACTGTACTTGGTATCGTATGAGTAGGGTGCCTCTATTGGACCCTCTCATACAACCTTTCTGTATCTTTTCTATTTCAATAAAATCAGTCATTGGGCTTTTCTTAAAAAAAAAAGTTTTTTTATTAAATTATTAAATTAAAGTATTTAAAACTCACCTTAGCTTTGGCTCGCAGACTCTTCCTTCTCCCTTCTCCTGCGGCTTGATCGTTCAGGATTGTACGTTGCTGTGTATGTAGGCTCTTTTCCTTTACGCCTCATCCTCTCTGCTCTCGAAACCCGACTCCTACCCCCACGCACATGAGCTCCCTCCTCTCCTCTTTCTTCCTTTGATCGGCTAGGGCCTCACTCATCTCCTTGCGGTTCGGTTCTCACACGGAACCTCACCTCTTTTGACTTCTCCTTCGGCTCCTTTGGCGTCAATTACCCACGCAAGCACCCGTACAAGTAACCCACCCCTTTCTTCTTCGAATCAACCCAACACTATATTAGTATGCATAAGAAATATAATGTGACAGGTAATAATTAACATTTATAATCAATTTTTTATTTATGTGAACATGTTATAATGCTGGAAATAACATGTAATTATGTACATGAATTGTTCTCTTTCATTTAAATCAAATATGTCCAATATATAAGAAACTTTAAATGCAAAGGCATTATACACGATGACAAAACATTAGTTCTATAAAAATCTACTAATTATTTCAGCTATTGTATAATTCACCTGGATTATCAAGGCAGCCTCACCACGAGTCTTCTTTAGTCTTGCCCCAAGCTAGCAACCTTAAATAAACAGTCTAGCAAAAAATCAATTTCATTTATTTAAATGAAATTCTTAAATTAAACTCAATTTAGCATATCAAACTTCAATTTATGCTTTTACCTCAAAACGTTTTTCCATCATCCAAACTTTTTTCCCTTTCTGTTATTTGTCAAATTAATCGAACTAAAATTTAGATATTTATAAAAAAAAATTGGTGGTTTTCAAGAGGTGCAAAAAATGAGGTATAATTAAAAATAAATTTAAAATTACCTTTTGGCCATTTTGGGTATTATAGGGTGCAGAGGGAACTGAAGGAGTGTTGGTGAAAATGCAGGCAAAGTGCAAGAGTGCGCATGAGAATGCCAATGAACCGAGTTGACGCTAAGAGTTAGAAATTTTCAGCATTGGTGAAGCGCATGGACGTGCACTGAGTTTGTGTGAGGCATCAACAAATTGAGCTATGGACAAGTGCAAGTCTTGCATTTTGTTTGCAGATATTGTTTTGGTTTTTGTTTGTCAATAGGTAGTGGTAGTGGCATTGTGGTTGTGGTGGTTTGAAAATTTGGCTATTCCAGTGATGTTGATTGATTAATGGTAGTTTGGGATCTTTGAGATTCATTCATATATTATTATTTATTGAAAAATGGAGTTATGCCTTTTTATACCATCTGTTTTATTTCTTAGAATTATTGCTTTGCAGATTGGAAGGCCTTACGTTATCTCCAAGCTGAAGGATTACCCAAAGTTTCAGGCAGTTGCCATTGCAATCCAGAGATCCGGTTTTAAGGTTTGGAGCTTCATTGCTTGTCCTCCCGTTTACTGGCTGTTATAGCAGGCAGTTATTCTTCCCGGCTAGATCTTGATTGATGCCCATAAAAAAGAAAATTTTTTGGATTATGGAAATTTTTACCCAAGTTTAATTGGTTTGTCTTTTTCGTTGGTTAACTGTAGTTAAATGTTTATCCTTATAATGATTAATTTTACGTGCTGATATATCTTGTTATGCAAGGGCAAACTCATTCAATTTTGGATTTGTTTTACATGTTATTTTTTGCTGTTTTGTGCTTTGTTAGATAGATCTATGGTGTGCTATGCAAGTGTTGAATAGATAACTGGTTTGTAAACTCGTGTAAAGAAATGCTGTTTAAAATGCCATAAGAGTTTTGGTTTTTTCTTCTGTTTAAAAACTGTTGTAACAGTGATGTTATTTAAAAGAATAACTGAAAAAAGTACATTAGCACTTCATATTGCTCAACACAACAATGCTAATCAAAACCTTAGTGTTTACATAAATAGGTTAAATTGGTAATTATTTAAAGAGACAGGAAAACTAAGATCCATGGGAGCTTTTTTCCTGGAGCTATCTAAAATATCATTAAAAGTTGCTTTTTAGCTTTCATACAAATGAGTTTTTTCTCACTACTATTGCAGAAACAACTATAAAGATGCTTTTGCTGTTTAGGGTGCTGCAACCGGCAATAGTAAGGTTACCAAATGAAGCTTTAGAATACAAACTTATATCATGCTGATGAAAGTTCAATTTGAATGGATCTTATATTTTTAATATTCTAATAAACCTGGACTTTGCAAAATCAGATCGTAGAATATTTTGCGCCATTATGGGGAAGTACCTGTTATATTAGGCAGCTCTATCTATTGCCTTTTTTTTATATTTATTCAATTATCAAACAAGTTCTTTTTTGTCTTGTAAAAACCCTTGATTTTTCATAGCACTACTTTTGAAGCGTACATAGATCTTATTGCAGCTCTAGGAGATTGAATTGTGATTAGTTTTATACGTCCATCACATAGGTGCTTGAATCGGTCCTTACTTACTCAGCTGTCCCATAGATGGGCTTGTGCATTTTAATGAAAATCTTACAACCTTGAACTATACGAACTGATCCTTAAATGTGCTCAAATTAATTTTTCAGTCTCTCGCTAGCTTGAGGCAAATTGGCAATGACTCATACTTTTGTATAATATTATCATGACTTAGCCCAGAGCTTGTAATTAACTAAGACAAGAACAGACGGTCAGATGGAGAAAATAATTTTTTTTGTTATTTTAATTTTATCACTAACAGTTTATTATACAAATATTCATAAAAGCTATTAAAGAAATCAATATAATTAACAAGCCATAGTTTTTATCTTTTTGGTTATTGTTCTCGTCTCATGTACACATTTACTCTTTTATTCATCTTATTCAACAACTTAAAACCTAAAAAATATTTAAACATCATAATGCGTTATCTAAAAATAACCAGTAGTAATCATACCTCTAAATTACAGTAATTCGAGGAAATTAATATGCATGCTTGACTTTCATATCTCTATAAGAAATCTTGGAATATGCTTATCTTTCATTTTTCTATACAAAATTTTTGAATATACTAATGCATGTATCAATGACTTTTACTCAATGAAATTGCTCTAATCTTTTATATGCATTTACTTTACTTTTATTTTATACTCTTTATGTACACATCTGTCTCTTTGAGAATCACCTTAAACAAAACTTAACACACCTCTGATCGATATTATCTTGTCAACATAACCGTTAGCGATCTGAATATCACAATTATCTAAGGAGAAAATACTTATACCTGCCCTTGGCCGATAATCTCTCATTGACATAGTGGTTTGTGATCCAATCGTCACAAATGTCTGGGGAGGTAAGCTCTGTCTACTCGCTCGACCAATATTCTCATGTCAGCACAATGGTTAGTGATATAAACATCACGATTGTTTGGGGTGGTATAAAAAAATACATGCGCGAGTACACTTACGTCTTCTGCTTATACAATTAGGGGCTGACTCCTCTTAACATGCACATATAAACATTCAAATAGAAACTATTTTATTTTTTATAAGATACATTCTTCTGAGACATCTTCATTCATCTACTTATATGCATACTCTACTGTGCAATTAATCATCATGCATCTCTCATTTGATGCATATATCTTTTCTGGTGCATATCTTTCATATCATTTGTATCTTTTATCTCATACATATCTTTTATATCATGCACATCTTTTTCTATCGTGTTTCTCATGCATATCTTTCCTGCATGACAATATGAAAGTTCTAATTAAATTAGAGCATATATGGAGTTAAAATACATTTTGAAATAAAAAAATAATAATAAAATTTAGAAATCTAATTATTCACCTTAGTTATCATATTATATTCTCAATTTTCAATAACCAGCTAGGCGTTGCGATAACCTTTTTGTTTATTTTAATAATTTATAGAACAAAAATCAAACTTTAAGATTCAAACAATATTAATTAATCAAATTATTCTTCTTGGCATAGAATTAATTTACCTGAATTAACGAAATCGTCCTACAATTAGCTTCCACACGCTCGCCTTGAGCTCGTTATCTTGAGTAAATAATCTGAAATTTGTAAATATCTAAAAATTGAATGAAATTTCAGCCCATATTGCGATTTAACAAAAGTATAACTCATTTACCAAAACATACCTTAAAAATCGACTTCACAGCAAAACCCAACTATCTTCGATCTTTCTTTAATCTTGTTTTCTCTTTTTCTTACTGTGCTTATCATGCATATCTTTCTTGTCTAACAATATGAAGGATCTAACTAAACTAGAGCATACATTGAATCAAATATACATTTTGAGATAAAGAAGAATAGTGAAATTTAGGAATATATTTTCTCACCTCAGTTGTCACGTTACATTCACAATTTTCAGTAACTAGCTGGGCATTACGATAAAATTTATGTTGATATTGATAATCTATAGAATAAATATTAAACTTTAAGATTCAAGTAATTTCCGTTAATTGAATTATTCTTCTTAGCATAGAATTAATTTATTTGAATTTACAGAGCCTTCCTAGGACAAGCTTCCACACGCTCGCCACCTCGAGTAAATAATTTGGACTTTGTAAATATCTTAGAATTTCATGAAATTTCGACTCATATCATGATTTAACAAAAATCTAATTCATTTGCCAAAACTTACCTTAAAGGGCTTCTTGGCAAAACCCAACCTTCTTCGATCTTGCCAAAATATTTTTCTCTTATTCCTATCTTTGTTTACTCTCCTCCCTTAACTTTGCTGATCTCATGCTAGAAGCCTTTATGAAAACCCACAAACCAACTTTTTCGCTTCCGACAGAACTTTGTCTTCGCTAAGGCGACCATAAATGAAAAAGATGCATAAGTAATAATAATTCTCAAAATGGAAGTGTGAGGTAGAAAATGAATGTCTCAAATAGCGTGGAAAAGAGTTTCGTACTCACTGATTTTGTCTCCAAAGCTTAAACCTCGAGCTGTGGAACTCGGTGGGCTCCTTGCCTCTTTCATATCACGACTCTGCCAATATGTAGGGTCTTGCAGTAACTTTCGGGAGGAGAAGGAATCGAGAGAGAGCTTCATGCAGGCGAAGTCGAGGGAGATGGGAGAGAGATTCGAAGACTCCGGAGTAACGAAACATTTGATCGAAATAAGCGCTATATCTCACAAGTGAGTCGGCTGGGAACAAGAAGCCAAGATTAAGGAGGGATAATTAAGGGTTAGTTTAAATTAATTAAACTTATAACTTCATAATTTTATATCTTCCAACCCATTCAAAATTTATATATAGAGTCTATATCGAATTAATCAATTTGACTCATTTTATAAAATTGACTCGGTTGAAATATGATAGATGCAAAATTTGGGTACATTTTAAAAAAAAATTAGTTGGTTTTTTAAAACTGGTTATTACAAACGTGTTTGTACCATGCTCTTACTTGCGGCTATTTTAGCTTATGGGTGCCTTTGAAAGAGATAGTGGACCAAGGCTCCCTCTCTGTCTATTTGGTGGGTAGGAGTTTCTAGAAGAGTGAGCACTTGTTGTGGGTACAATTAGGAAGGTGGCATTGAAAAAATAAAAAAGGTGGGCAAGAGGAAGGAGAGAGAGTGATGTGCAGAGATAAATAATTCGTGGGACACTATTGTTTCAGCCTTCTTCCAACCAATTAGTGATTCATCGAGGTTGATGCCATCATCATAAAAAAATTAATCTCTTGATTTGCCCATGATGATGCTTCAGGCTAGTGCAATCCATTTTCAAGGGCTTGAGATCTTGGCTCTTCTTCTATCTTTGTGTCTTACATGTGACATGATGCCCCTGCACCCACATCAATCTCAATAATTTTTTTCTTGTCATAATTTCACTAGGTTCATCTTATTATCCTGAGTTCATGATCATTGGATTCAAGAAGAATTCTCACTTTTGAATCATGCATTTCTTCTCTTGGTTGCTTGAGCTCTAACAAATGGGTATAGAAAACAAGCACAAAGGTGCATCACCATAATTGATGTCACGAGCATAGCATTTTTAACATAATTGAGCCCTCTGTATTACTTGCCTTTTGTGGGGGAGGAGACAGGTTGAGCTGAATGCATTTCTTCCCTCAAATTATGATGTTGAAGAAGGAGATATGCTTCTGAAGGCCGAGCTGAATGCATACCTGAATTAACCAAACTTTGTCCATCCTGTCAGCTTGCATATCTTGACCCCACCATCTCCAATGTAATTTTTTTTTTTAAAGCTCACGAACTTGTATAAAATGGTTCCATAACTAGTGTTGCTATTGACAATTGTTGATAAAACTAAGAATCTATTGGTTCAATGTTATTCAGATTTTATGAGTATCAAGATACCAATATTCAGATAGCAATGCCATCCTTCAAATGTTGTGTTTGGCTTAATGTCATCTTCTGCATAAGATGATATGCTATTTATAATAATTAATGGCGTTACT